TTTCTCATCCCATCCAAATTTTCCCACAAACCAAACGGAACCTTAGAAATCATAAAATACCATATTTGCCCTGAGCAACATCTCCCAATTTCCTTCATTTCCGCTAACGAATAAGCATGAGCTAGCTACAACCATGGCCATTAAACCACTCTCATTCTAATGAAAGAGAGGATCCTCAGCTGAATTCATTCATTTTCATTTGAATGAATTCTTTCTCCCACTTAAGCCCAAACATCTACCGTCCAAAAGGTATATCAGAATACCTTTATCATTGATGTCACATGTTTGCACTTTCAGAATTTCAAAATCTTCAATCCATTTGGCATCATCTCCATTTAATCTGAGCCTATGAAGTTGCTTTCTTCAGGGCTAACCGTTACTCAACAATTTTGCTTCATATTTTTTTTTGAGCTTCAAAAAGACGATTAGGGCTCTGATGATAATTGATAAACTCAACGGGAACTGATCAATTAGTCATTGTAATCAATACTAAACCCAAGGGCTAATTTAACTAGTTTGCTATGCAAAGGAGATTTTATGAGCAAATAACCCAAAAAAATAGACACGATATGGTGTATATCCTTAGTAAAATGGTAACTTGACAAATTAGAAGATGGTTCTCTGTCTCTTGTTAGAGATCACATGGAAAAGTTATAACAAAAGCATTATCTTTACTTTGGACTTCAAATATAAAACTTGTATCAGGAACAAAGAGGCTAATACTCACCAAACAATGAATCTGATGTAGTTGTATAAACTGTTTGGACCCTAGGAAATTGCTTACCTAGGAGTTGTATAAACATTCAAAATTAAAGAGGAATTGAGATAGTGGTTAGGAAAGAATGATATGGTTTGGAATTTGAAGCCATAGTTGCAGGTTTAGTGTCTTCCTTACTCCATTATCTTTTAGAGTTGGAAAAACAATAATAATACAGGGTCATTACTTTTAAGTCAATAAAAACACAAATTGATTCATATGAACTCTTAAATTGTTATAGTGCTTTACTGCTTTAGTCTATTTAGTCTGTAGAAGAGAAGAAACAATTTATGGTGGGCATGACCTTAGGCAGAGACAAATTCAACTAGTTGGCCATTGGGTGAGATATCAGTTCCCATGCTTACTCAGCACAGGAGAATAAAACAAATGCAAAGAAAAACAGGGTAGTGTGGACATGGCAGAGGAGACGAGGATGTAGATTTGTTCTCTCGGCAATAGAGTTCAAGAGGAAGCTTGCGGTCATTGACGTCATTTATAACAGTGGAGAGACAGCAGGCAAGCTTTTTCTTTTTGGGCTTGGACAAGCCAACGAGGAAGTGGTTTGTGTTTTCCGAATGGTTCAGCGAGGAAGAAGAAACATATCTAGGTCTGAGTCTCACTTAGCCAATGAGAAGGAATAACACAAAGACCTACCTTGATCTTGGCAGAAGCGATGGCACCAATGCCGTTGATGTACGGGTGGTTAGTGTCAATGATGTTTTCCATTTGGGTTAGTAACAAAAGGGTAAAATCGATATTTAAAAAAATTATGCATTAGTTAACATTTTTTGTCTAGGTTAGTGATAGAAGGGAGGTTTTTGTTGCGTTTCTCAAAAGTTCAGCTATTTGTTACAATGAAACTATAGGGGAGGTTTTTATGATTGTTAGAAACTTTAGGGGAGGCTTTTGTACTTTACCCTAAAGAAAATGACTATGTGGAATCATGTAGAGTTAAAAAAAAAAAAATCCAAGCAAAAGATAAATGCTACATCATTTTCTTTCCTCCGGGTGGATGGTGGGTAAGCAATTCAACCATTTGGGGTCAAATGGGTTAATAAATAATATTATAATTAAATAATAAAAATTTAAAACAAATAAAACATATAATACAAAAAGGAGAATTGGGCATATCTCTAATATCGTATATTCATTATACTAAACAAAAATAAGTATGAAATGTAAGAAAGCATAAAAAAAAAAGAAACCAACCTATAAATGAAATGATGTCAAAGTTAAATAATAATTTTTTTAAAAATAAAAATACAAAGAATCACAAAAATAAAAAAAAATTAATCTCAACCTAGAAATCAAACCATTTTTCTTTTTGGGTGCTGAGTTAGTGGGTTGGGTCAAATGGATGGATTAATTGATGATATGGTAGTTAAATAATAAATCTTTAAAAAATAAAACAATACAAGTAATCAAAAGAATATATAAAAAATTATATATTAATTATGTCAAATAAGAAATAAGTGTGATAAGTAAAAATTATTTATATAATGTAAATGAAATATGTAATTTAAAACTGATCTGAAAGCAAATTCATTTTCTTATCTAGATGGTGGGTCAATGATCCAACTTTTTAAAGAAACTCATGATGTTATAATTAAATAATAAATATCTAAAAAAAGATAGAACACAAAAAATGAAAAAGTATAGAATTTTGTCGAAAACATTTGAGAACATTTCTAATGTTATATATTCATCATATTAAATAAAAACAATTGTTAAAATAAAAATTATTTTTATTTATGGTAAAAATGGAATACAAAATTTAAGGGTAAATACCATGTACTTTGGGTAGTGACAGATAGGTACTCTGAACTTTCAATTGTAACACTTGGGTACCTTGAACTCTCAAAAATAGACACAGGTCCATCTGTTAGTATTCCATCAGTTAAACATTATATAAGACTAAAAATACCCTTCTCGAGTATCTTTGAGGAAGGAGTTTTGGCCCCTGGAGTCGATATGATTGTAGGTTTAGCTGTGGACACTTTTTGCATCACAAATGGCTCCTCAGGGACCTATTGTGCATCTTGTGGTGCATTTGGCTTAATTCCAACAAATCCCTCTCTTTTTACATTGCTGTAACTGAGATCTGATGTTTAATGTTATATTGTCTCTACCAAAAACTTTAGATAACCATCATCATTCTCCATTCTTTCCTCCGATCTCTGGATCAGCAAGATGTCACGATCATCGTCCAGAAATGCTTCTGTGGGTTCTAGCATGAACTCATGGATGTCATCAACAAAAATACCAAGATATCGACATGAATTTTAGGTTTGATTGGCCCTGTAATGTCGGAACACAGGAGACAGAGGAGAGCGTGAGCCGAGAGAGTGGTCGACATTCTAGGCGTAGCGGGTGTTGATTGGATTCGTAGCTTTTGTACAAAAGTCCTATTGGGAGAAATAAAGAAACACAACCCAGAAAAGAACCCAGAAATCAGAGAAATATTAGAAACCCCCAAATCTTTTTCAGTTCACTGGGTCCATTAGAGCTGAACGCTGGTTTGTTCAACCATAGATTTCCAGAATGCAACCACGAAAGCGGATATGGTTTGTTCAACCATCATCACTACAACAGACTTTCTAGTTTGTTCAAACGATTACACGTTCTCCATTTTCCTCCATTAAAGTGGTTCTGAAGTTCTGGATAGGTTTTTTTTGTTAGTACTTAACTACATGTCAATTATCAGAAAACTTAAGAAGTGCTTTAAGACGATATGTATACTGTAAGGATAGAGTTAGTCAATTAGCTAAACCATAAAGGTAGTTTAAGAAATTTACCTTTTTCAATTTCTATTTTAATTATGTTATATCTAAAATTCAAATAATTAATATAAAGAAAGTTTTCTCACCTGCAACTAGACATGTTCATGGGCCAGGCTCGGGCTTGGCTTTTGCCAAAATTTGAATAGGCCCGAGTGTAAGTCAGGCCCAAAGCCCGGTCTGTGAACAGGTCTACCTGCATCGCACGTAATTATTACTGAACCACAAGAAAAATAAGAAAAAAAAGAAAAGAATACTCCCCAAGGACCCCAACCATTGTGCTTTATCTTAAAGTGGACAAAAACTTCCTGATCAAAAATGTACATTTCTTATTTCTATATAAGAAGCATGTTTATCATTTAGCATACACCATGAAATTTTATTCAGCTTATTTTAATTTGTTTGTATAATATAGCAATAAGAAACGTAGGGGCTTGACAATGACAAGTACAATCATGTGGGAGAATCACAGGCAAATAAGATCTTCCTCCTGCACTTGCAAGGTATTCTGCCAATTTATAATAACTACTGGTTGATGCATGCTAACGATGCGATGCTTAAAATAATACTCTGTTGAAAATGCTTCAGAAGGACCTGATTTTCATTGCCGATTTTTGAAGAGCGAGAATAGAATCTGGAAGCTCTTACAAGGGCTGTGGTCGTGTTTGCACTATGAAGATATCTTTTCCAACAACACATCCTTCCACGTCCTGAGGGCAACCAAACTTCTGCTCCAGGAAGAAACCGACAGCACATAAGCGCTGACCAAGCTGCCGGCGGAAGATTGGGTCCACCGTCAATGGCTTCTTACTGTAGTCTACTGTCAAGCGCATTACTTCTCCATCAGCAGGGCCTGCACCGAGCACCAGCAATTCCTCGCTGAAATTTGCAAATGCCAGTGTACTCACTCGGCCATCGAATTTTCCAGAGGATAGACGCCAAGGGGTTCCTCGAGTGCCTGAAGCTAGGGTTTCACCAAGACCTGGAGCAATTTCAGCCTCAACCAAGTTTTGGTCACGGTCTGTTGGACTTAGTGTGTGGAGCACAAAGGAGAGGTCTGGTGACAGCATTTCCTGCACCAACACTGCCATTGCAGCCTCCCTTTGTGGCACACCAGCAGCTCGACGGCTTAAAACTGCTCTCCGAGTATACAATGAAGCCCATACACGGCCAACAGCAGCTCCAAAAACCGTTGGATTCGAAGAAGCACTGACATTTGGAATTGATTCATATAACCCAGCAGCTGACATCCCAGCCAAGTCCTCTACATTGGCGCTTGAGCGGACTATTAGGCGTGCATTACTAGGAAAGAGTTTTGCTATTTCCACAATGGTTGCTTCAGAGGGACATTGAGCTGAAATCAGTTCCTGTAGTTCTGAACATACTTTGTCCAGAACGCCATCTTCAATTTTTGCTGTCTCTATCTGTTCAATGAGCAATTTGAAAGCTTCCATGGACCCACTTTCCTCTATTGCTGATTCCATTGATCCAAAGGGTATTACCGCCCCAGCAGGTACACGAAATGATGCTGGAACTCCCTGATCACTGTAAACTGATATCAGACAAATCACATCAGCAACCAAATATAAAATAAGAATCAATGAACAGTCACCAGATTACATTTTTTTTTTTTAAATTAGTAAGAGGTTCTAGAATTGAAATAGCCAATTGATAACGTGGAAAAATTACCATTGTGCCACACCTTTTTAACACCTTGAAATTACAAAATTACTCAAACTGCCACCTCCATGTTTTTGGCATAAATCACCAGCTTTTAGCCCTTTTCTTATCAAGACTGGTTACATATTAAAAGTAGCTTGAATAAGAGTATTCTTGTCCTTTTCCATAAAAGCTTAAAACAAGAGTTGCAAATCATGTACAAACTTTGAGCAAGTTATAATTGGATCATACTGTAAGTACATGGATTTAAACATCGCATCCCCTATGACAAGTGACAGTAACACAATGAGATAACACCGCGTTAGCACAGAACCACAGCATAGCTATTTTGCAAATTTATATCAGCCACCTTTTAGCCTTCATCACAGTGAAACCTCATAATAGTGCATCGCATCACAAGTCCTTGTCACTTTCTCACAATGCGATATCGCAATCACCTCCCACCTGGCGATTGGCTATCCATCTCTAAGTTCTTCGTGGCTCTCAGCGCATCCATTGCATGTATGTACTCAACTTCCCCATCGCACTCCCTTATCACATCCTACATTGTGGCAAAAGCTCTGTGATATCTTATCACGCTTAGGATCCGTATTGCCGCACCAGCAGGATTGTCAGTCCCATGTCGCTAGGGAGCCTAAGCTTGTGTAGGCTCTGCCACTACGGAGCCTAAGCTTTCTCTGTTTCCTGATCTCAACTCTCTTTTCCAATCTCAGATATCAGATCTAAGACCTTCTACCATCTTTCAGGTAGACCACTGAGGTTCCTTTCCCCTAGACTCACACCTAGAAGTAATTTTCCAAGATAACTATTGTTTTCTCCTTTTATTGCTTTACAATTATTAGTTTCCCTGTAAATAAGAATCTATACTAAATTCTGTGTGAACCAATGTCCAGGGTATCACCAGACATTGGATGTTCTGATCCCCCCTTTTTATCCATAAAAGCTTAAAACAAGAGTTGCAAATCATGTATAAACTTTGAGCAAGTAATCATCGGACCCTAGAAGTAATTTCCCAAGATAACTATTGGTTTTTCCTTTTACTGTTGAGCAATCATCAGTGTCCTTTTAAATAAAGAACCTATACTAAATTCTGTTTGAATTAATGTCGAGGGTGTCACCAGACATTGGATGGCTTGCATAATGAAACCTTGAAAACATTAATGATTTGAAAATCTGAATGGTGGCATATAACCCACTCAAGAGTCTATCATTTTGTTACCAGAGGATAAAATGTTTATGCATACTTAAGGTATTGTTCCACGAATTAGTTTGTCTTGAACTTAAAGCCCACAAATATGAAAACAGTTAGACAACAATGACAATTATTTAGCAGAGAACTACAGAACAGCAAGAATTAAACACCTTTTATACTCTCAACCCTCCCCATACATCTCTTGTGCATTCTTTGCCTAAGCATTTTTCGTTTATTTTTATTTATAAGTAACAAAGCATTATGGTATTTTCCTTTGTTGCCTGAGTTGATTGATTGGTAATATCACTTTGCTCAACACGAAACAAATATAAATAAAGAACAGAGAATCAAATATATTGAATGGTAAAATCAGAAACAAGTGCATCCATAGGAACATAGGAATTGGTCCAACAGTTCAAAAGCAATGAGAATCTCTTTGGAGACGACCAACAAAATTGGAAAAATACAGATAAAATTAACATGATCCCTGTGCAAGGATGGTATTTGCAAATTAAGAATAGTTTAACAGCAAAAAGATGGCTTGGATGGTTCACTCATGCATAATGAATACTCCTCGATGACACCACCAGACGTACTAAAAGGAATTTTGGATGCTCAAGCATGGTTTAAAATGTCACAACATTTCGGTAATGTCACCCAACAAATGTCGCCTATGTCATTCAACAAAAACAAAGAAAAAAAGTATAATATTTCAAAATATTTCATCCAAATGTCGACAACTCGGCATATATTTGAAATACAGACAGAGAATCAAATTTCAAATCAAACACAAAGAGAGATAGAGAGAGATTAAACGGGAAAAAAGAAGATTTCAGTTTACTTACCTGAAGCTGGAAGAACATCTTCAGGCTTGAATAGGCACAAGAGTGGCTTCTACCCTCGGTCTTGCACTGAAATACCTTCTAGGAACAAGAAGCAGGACGTTGGACATCTAAAGCTCTAAAGAAATTGCTCTTATCTCACTCTCAAGTCTCAGCTCGATTTAGGCATGCAATACTATCCCTATTCCCCACTCACAGTGAATATCCATGAAAAATATGGGAAAAAAAGAAGAAAAATAGAAGATAAGGAGTTGAGGACCCAAGGTCAAGGAGAATGCTTGTCTTCACTTCCTCTTCTATTTCTTCATCTTCATCTTCAGATTCCTGAAATTCTTGCACACTCATCACAATTCACACTGCATCTTTGTGTCTTTGTAGCTCGAAATTTCAGGTTGAGGGTTCGAATGACCAATAAACCCTTAAGTATAAATGTTTATTGCGATCGCAAACAAGATGACCCTTTTCTTCTGGTAAGGTGATTGTTCTATTTTGAAGACCTTCTACTCTTCTAGTTAGTTCCAGTTTTCACTTCTGCTTGATTTGTTTGATGTGTCTGTGTCTGTTGCTCATTAACTCCTTAGTTGTTTCCCCGTGTTGGGTTCCTTGTAATTTGGGGTCTCCCTATTGGGTGGACTTAGTGTAGTTTTTTGTCTCTGTCAGGGGTCTTTTAGTCTATTTTCTTCCCTTATTTAGTGTCTTTCCCTCAGTTGAGTTCCTTTTGTTTTAGTCCTTTTCTGGTGCTTGTGTTTAGCTTTGGTTTCTTTGTCCTTCCCTTTTGTCTGTGTCTGCATGGAGAACCTGTATGAACTACAACAGGCATTCGAACAAGCAGTTCGAGAGGAAGTCAATCTAGGTGTGGACAGATTGGACTTTAGAGGTAGGCCTGTCCTTGCCTGTTTGAAGAATGGTTTCACTGTGTTATTGGGTGCCTCTTCCCTAAAACCATGTTCCAGTTTCATGATTTGTGCAAGGCGCTGCATACAACCTGGAATATTTGTGTGGAGGAAGTTAGGATCTTGCCTCTTCAAAGAGGTTATTTCTGTGAAGGAACTTAGTGATCTTGGCAATGTCATCATGGATGGTCCCTAGTATGTTTTCGAGTAATGGGCTTTACTAAAAGAGTGGAGTGCTGGTCAGGTTCCCTCCTCCATTTCATTTAATGATGCTGAGGTGTGGGTGCAGATCCATGACCTCCCTTATGACTTAATGGACACTGATGTAGGAACTACTATCAAGGAAAAGATTGGTGTTGTCTATGGAGCTCAGGAAAAGGATTTCTTTCTTAGGGTCAAAGTTCAGATTCCATTGGATTGCCCTTTAAAATGTGGCTTGTTTCTTTCACCCACTGTTTGGGCTGTGTTTAGATACAAAAAGATTCCTTATGTTTGTTATCACTGTGGTAAAGTTGGTCATCATTTTCACAACTGTAACTCCGGCCCCATGCTTGCAGTAGATGATTTAGATGTGTTTTTTAGCTCTTGCACCATGGATCATCCTGGGCCCTGGCTGAGAACGCAAGCTGCGGAACAAACTCTGAAAGAGGAATGGAGGCGACCTGTCTTTCGCAACTTTGCTCTGCGCCTAGTGGAAGCCTGGAAAGTATTGGTGGAAGGGGACAAGGTACAATGGACGACAGTTCTGGTCACAGTTCCAGAGGGTTCAATCGCTTCCCGGAGCAGAAGGTACAAGAGATGATTGGGGGAGAAGGTGCAAGAGATGATTGGGGGTGCTGCTGAGAGGGGAGTGGGTGGAGATTTTTCGGAAGTTGGGGGAGATGGGACGGGGGAGGGCAGTAGTAACGATAGCAATCTAGGGGTGACAGCGCTTAATCTTGATAAAGAATATGAGCAGTTGAAATATCTGGACTGGCGATTCCCCTGTATCCATTAGAGAGCTGATTGCCTAGTCAGAAAACTGGGTTCACCTAGGGAAAATAAGTGTGGTGCTCTGGCAAACAACAACAAACAGAGTCAGGTATTCGGATTCGGGAAGGTGAGGGCTCTGTGGGTCATGGGGCGGGTAAGATCTTTCATAAAGATACTGGATCTGATTATGGTGGCTTTGGTAGTTTTAGCCTTTTGTATGACTTTCGTATGGCTTATTTTCTTCCTCTGTTTGTTGCACATTTCTGTGTTTATCATCTTATAGATGGGAACGACTTCACCCTACAGGTGGAGAAGCTACTGGGGTAGAGAAACTTTTCGCTGCTCAGGTCAATTGCTTGCTCTCTCTTGCTTGTCTTATGGGGCGATAGTARCTGCCCTCAACAGCCACACGGGAGCTGATGAGGCTTTGTAGATGGAACTGTCGAGGGGGAAGCACCCTCTGGCAGTTCATGGTTTAAAGGACTTAGTTTCTAGGTGATGCCCTGACCTTATCTCTCTTAGTGAAACTAAGATCCCTTCTTATCAAACTTCTCGCCTGAGTCAATCTATTAGATTTCCCCATTTTGTTGATGTTCCCCCCAAAGGCTTAGTTGGAGGTTTGTTGGTCATGTGGAAAAGAGCTTTTGATATTTCCATCATGTTTACCCACCCAAAAGGTAAAAGTTTTCCTTCCTGTTTCAACTCCCAGGATGTTAGTCTGCTTGTATGGTGAACCTGATCATGCTAGGCATCAACCTAACCATGCTAGGCATCAACACCTGTTCATAAAACTTGGCTGATTATGGTTCCTCACACCATGATAATGCACATAACCACTATTTAAAGGCCATTTACAGCTTTATTCATGAAATACAACTATTTATGATCCCTATTTGCATTTTATGCATAAAAAGTTTACTTATTTATATTTGTTGGTTTTTTCTCAAACAAAGAGCGATTATATACCAGAAGTTTTGAAGGAAAATTTTGTAGGAAAATGCTAGTTAGTTTAGTGTATTCATTTATACTTCTAAATCAGAATAAAGAGGTTTCTTTGCCCCTAGTAGAGATGTAATTAAGGGAACAACTATGTGATTTCCTGAATGGGATTTACCCAAATATAAAAAAAGAACCCTAGTTATTAGTCTAATTGGGTGAATTATGTTATGTGAGAAATTATACTAAAAAAATCTCCACTAACAACTGGATACAATCCTAACCTTTGGCATTTTTTGCACAAAGTGGCTACTTTGAACCCGCATGCTCATGCTTATCAGCCCAAGATTTACCATTACACCAAGTAACGATTCCTTGATAATTGAAACACAAACTTATTATGGCTAAACAAATCAAACTACTAGGTTGGAACCCTTAGAGAACACATAAAATAATAAATATACTTATCATTATCATCATCCAATTCTCATCCCARCCATATGGGGTTGGATACATGAATCCTGTTTTGCCATTCTGCTCTGTTTAATTCCATATCCGTTGTTAAAGTATGGGTGCTGCTGATGATCTCCTATGCACATGACCAATCCATCGTAGTCTACTTTCTCTCATTTTATTACCTATTGGAGCTACTCATCGGTTCCTTTGAATGACTTCATTTCTAATCCTATTTGGTATTTTCACTCATCTATCTCAATACAACTGTTTTATATAATTTTCCTTTTAATCTAGGTGGTATTTGCCTATCATATAAAATTCTAGATGCACCCCTCCATTTTGCGCATCCTACTCTAGTTCTATTGGCAACATCCTCCTCAATCTCTCCCTTGTTATGAATTATCAGATGAGTTATCTCTTGGTTTTCAATCCTAAGTTTAACCTGATCTGTGTGCTATTATTATTAAACTTATATATCATATATTCTGTTTTAACCCAGATAAAGGAGGAGGGTTGCATTAGGTTGGTAGTCAGCAAACCTATGATCAGGCTTGAGCTTAGCTTTTTGCCAAAAATTGAATGAGCTCAGCCCGAAGCAGTGTAAATGTTCATGGACCAAGCCCAAAGCACAACCCGTGAACAATCTAGCAGCCGATACTAAAACTTTTGCCAAACTCTCGTGATCATGGATCTTGAAAATGACCAAATTGTCCTTACTGTCTAAAATTACAAAAATAATAAATAAATAAATAAATAACCAGGAATTTCCAATAGTAAACTTTTTGTCAGTTGCATCATGTATAGAAAATATATTCTAGGAACTTGACTTTATTACTTGTTTCAATCCTCTTTTACTCTAGTAGGGAGACAAGATACTTGAGGACTACTACTTCGAGACAATGGGATTACATGAAGAACTAACCAATGTTTTGAAAGCATAAGGAACAAAGAAATGCATAAAGGAAAAAAGAATATTATACATAAAATATGAATACCTGAACTTTGAAAAAAAAATTATATCTTAAAAGCCTATTAGGTTAATTAAAATACATAAGCATAACATATAAAACATATTCAAAGTGAAAATGTGGAAGTGAAGGACAAAAAATGGAGGTCAGGAATTAGAGATGTCAAATGAAGAATGAACTGGAACTATTGTTAAGAATGGAGCAAACATTATAGACTGAAAATCATGATCATTATAGTTGTCAAGGCAATTCCTAGGTGACAAGGTGCCCTTGGAGGCTCGCCTCACCTAACYGCCAAGCAGTTTTGTACATTGTGTATAAAATACTTTTATATTCTTAATTTTTTGAGATTAAAATGGTAAAATAGACATTATTAAACTAAAATGTTCATTTTGTGTGTTTATATACTAATTTCGTTTTATTATTTTCTTATTTGCTAGGGTTTAATTAGGGGTGCAAATGGATCGGATCATAATCCGATCCAATCCGAGATCCAATCCTATTTGGTCAAATTTGGATCACCCCTGGTCGGATCAGATCCTATGATCAAATCAGAAATCGCATTCAGATCACTCCCTATCTGATCCAAGAAGATCCGATCCGATGTGTTCTATATTTATAAATATATTATTTATTTTTTATAAAAAACATGTATATATATGATGAAAATAATTAAAAAATACTTGTATTTTTTGTTTTTTTCTTTATTTAAATTAGTATATTTTATTTTTTCTTTTAATAATTTATTAATTTTTAAAGAAAACAAGTCGGATCAAATCAGATCCGAAGATCCGATAGGAATCAAATTCAGATCGAGTCCTATCAAATCCGGTTGGATCTTCGGATCGGATCGGATCCGACGTGAATAGTGTCGGATTGGATTCGAATATACCCTGATTTGAATCCGGTCCGATGCGTTTGCATCCCTAGGTTTAATCAACACAAACATTGCTAAATGTTGTATTTAACCCTCAAAAGACTTCAAAACCTGAACCAATAAGTAAGGAAGAACTCAAAATTTTGTCTAATCAACACATTATCTTCCTCCTCATGCACCTCCTTTCACTTTTTCCTTTTTGCTTTTCCTATAACAAAATAGGGGTTCAGCCCCCATATTTCTTTTCTTTCTTCTTTTTCTTATGAATATGTTGATCTTTCATACTTAAACATGAAGTTTATACTCTTCTTATGAAAATTATGGATAATTATTAAGGAAATATGTATGGAATCTAGGGAACTACCTTAGGATATATGTTTTGTAGTTAAAAAAAAATCCATTGCCATGGCAACTAGGCAACAAGGCACCCCCCATCCTCTAGCCTCGCCTTGGTGCCTTTTTTTTTGATAGATAATGATAATGAAAACTTTATTAATTAAAGAACTAAGTATACATCATACAATTCCCCACTAAGAGGCACGAGGTGCAGCCTCCAGACTACATCATAAAGCTTACAATTGAGTCCAAAAGAGCTGATTCCTATGTACTCCTTGTTTAGCTATGAAGTCTGCTAGCCCATTTCCCGATCTTCTTCCCATTGAACTGTGACTGAAATATTTGAAGTTAGCCACTTAAATCTTCTCAAAGCCCCCCTGTACGGCCAGGCTGCCATCTCTGGTTCTTTTAGCCATCAAATAACCAATTTGGAATCACCTTCAATCATTAAATGCTCCACTACCAACTCTTTTGCAATTTCTGCTCCTTGTAACACAGCTTGGAGTTCTGCATTTACTGAATCTCCCCACCCTATAGGACCAGAAAATAGAGCTACAATCTGACCCTCATCATTTCTAAAGACTCCCCCTACTACCATCAAAATTTAGTTTAATGATGCCTGCATTAGGAGGCTTCCAATCCACCACCGGCTTGCTTCTAACTGTGGAACTTTTAGCTAGTTGTTCCCAATTCCTCCTTATGTCATCAAAAGTGTAGGAAGAGAACAGATCAAAGGATTTTACCCAACTTATGGCCCTACATAAGATACTTTCTAACACACATGTTTGATCCCTCTCTTTGTCATTAAAGATTTTAGCATTTTGCTCCTCCCACACAGTCCACACCAAAGCAGCTCTAACACACCTCCACAAAACTCTTCCTCTTCTCTTTGGCCACCTGAAAGTTGTAGGATCAAAAGGATTGCAAATCTGCACCAGTTCTGTCCACCTGCACCCAAAAAGATCAAAAAGCTTTTCCCAAAGGCCTACAACAAAGGGGCAAGTGATTAGTATATGGTAGCAACTTTCCTCATTTGCTTTACATAGGGTGCACCAGTTAGGAAGATACAAAGACTAGGTCTTCTTTTTTGCAAAGCATCCAAAGTGTTGATTTTCCCGAGGGAAACTTCCCAACAAAGGGCTCCCACTTTAGGAGGGACAGGTTTGGACCAAACTTCCTTGCTATGAAAAGGTTGAGGCAATGGAGAGGAGCACAAGGAAGCACAAGAAAAGGTTCCCAAAGGTAAAGGCTTCCAAATACGGGAATCTACCGAAAGAGGGTCCAAGCAAATGGGATCAATAGTTTTAAGGAGCAAAGCAACCTGGTCAAGCTCAGAATCTCTCAAATCCCTTCTAAAACCGAGATTCCAGTTTATACCAAAAGAAAAGGATGAGGATACAAACCATTGAATTGGCTCGTTTTTAAAACACAAGATGGAATACAAGGAGGGAAAAAGGTCCTTGAGGGCATAGTCACCAATCCAAACATTCATAGTATTCAGGAAAATGGGAAGAATACAATGAATAGCCTTCCATGGGGATTTCAGCGTAGTATGCCGAGATACACCAGCATCCCAACCATTGTTTGCAACACCATGCACACTCCTTACCACTTTATGCCAAAGCCTCTCCCTTTCTAGAGGCCACCTCCACAGCCTCGCCTTGGTGCCTTGAAAACTATGATGATGATCATCATCATCATTCAAGCCTTATCCCAACTATATGGGGCTGGCTACATTAATCCTATTTCACCATTCTGTTTTGTTTAGAGAAAAAAATCAAGATACAGATGATTTAAAGAGGTGGATGGTGGCAACAGAAGATTTTTCCATGCATTGGAAAATGGAAAAAGAAAGAAAAATTACATATCGAAGTTGGTAATAAATGGAGTATTAGTAGAAAATAGAGTATCGATAGAAGGTGATGTGGACAGAAAGACAAATTACATGCAGTACCTCAAGTATACAGCAATAAACTCAAGAAATACTAAGCTGAAGACAACAAACAAGTTGGATGTTTAGGGATTTCAGACCTAAACCTGAAGTAAAACTCCTCCTGGAACAGTTCTGCTACAATAACAATGGCAACAAGCTGGCCTCCCGCTCGGACACACAGCGATAGAGGGATTGGAAGGTGACAAAAATGGGTCAACTCCTCAAAACCCAAGCTCCCAATACTTGAAACCCTAACTGGGGCTGAGCTACAACTCAAACGAGAGAAAGAACCAAAAAGGCCCCTACAGAAACAGCCCCCATCTCTTTTATAAGACTAACTGGCTTACTGGACAAGCCATTTAAAATATTTACACATAAACCCCTAGAATGCTTCCCTCTCACAAACAACTCCTTAAGAACAAAACTAACTTCAAATGAGCCCTCAAAAGATAACTTTTGTTACAAAAAGACCCAAGAGACCCAAAACCCAACAGATATGCACTCAACTGCCCCTGACCAAAAATCCGACTTATAAAATGACAAAAATACCCCTCGTCCCAAACTGTCAACAGAGCTACCCAAAAATAACAATTTGGGATCTTACTACAAAAAAAAAACATGCAAAACAGAATACATTCACACATTTTTTTTCATTTTTTTGTTTTTTTTTTTTTTTTTTTGCCTCATCAGAAGGGCTGGATTGGCCTATGCTTGAGGGAGACCAAATCAAGAAGTTGGAAAAGGAGTTTGAAATGGAAGAGATTGTTGAGAAACCATAAAAGAGGGCCATAAAAAAGGACCTAATTGTCGGAAAACCATAAAAGATGACCTAATTAGGAAACCACAATGCAATAGGTATGAGGTCTTGATGGTTTCCTAATGTCTTTTTGTCAAGATTGTTAGGAAACCACACTACCTATTTGAGGTAGTTATAGAATTCTTTGATAGAGGTTTTGTTAACCATAGAGACACTGCTACTTAGAGCTTATCAGAGCATGCCACCTAGAGATTATAAGCCAATTAGCTTGGTGGGGTGTTTGTATATGATACATGCAAAGGTCCTATAGCTGAGGTTAAAGCAAGCTCTACCAACCATCATGACACAATTTCAAGTGCTTTTGTAATGAACAGACATCATAGAATAGATTTTGTTTGTAAATGAATGTTTTCAAGAATTGAAAAGATTTGGTCAATGGGGTTTTTGTATGCAAGTTAGATTTGGAGAAAGCTTATGACTTGGTAGAGTGGGATTTCTTGGATGAGGTAATGGAGAGGTGTGGCTTTGGGGAAAGGTGAATGAAGCAGAAAAGGGTTGATCAAACCCAAACTGGGGGGGAAGATTATACAGTGGGCATCAAGAGTCATGATTAGTAGCTCTTTTGTGTCAGCCACCACCACCACCACAAAGTTCACTTTCCTTTGGTAAATGATGACAAAGACAAGAATGGTGAATCTAGTATGACAAACATCCACAACAGCCTCTCAAAACTCTCATCCACTGGTTGTAGTCCAAAACTCAGGAATATCGTGCAGAACCCACTTTCCAGCATCTCCAGCACATGGTGTGACTTGCTGAATTTGATGTAATTAGAAAAGTTTTCAACCAAGAAAATGTAGGCCATACTTCTTTAACCTTCTTTATTCTGAAACTAGATTGAATCTGATATAGATTTTCTAGTTTCTGATTCCAGAATAGAATAGATTTTGATGATTTGGATTGGATTTTGACGATGACGATAATGATAAATTGGATTATTATTAGATTGAACCAAAATTCGGTCCATTGACAGAACCATCCATAAAGAGTATTCCAAGCAAAAACACCTTTATCACACAAGCACAGGTTTTCTGCAACATTCTCCCTAGTAAAAAATCATGCTTAAAAATTCATGCTCTTAACTCTTATACAAGTTTATACTGGAACTAACCAGAGCATTGAGCAGGAATTGGTTGGGAGCAGAAACAGGGTACTTGGAGTTGCAAACTTGAAAAGTCCCCAGCTTAAGAGCAACTTGCAAGAAATACATAAAATAATCATCTAAGCCTTGTCCCAACCATATGGGAATGGATACATGAATCTTGTTTCACCATTCCATTTTGTTCAGTGCCATATCCATCAAATAATTATGGGCACTTAAATCATTTTTAATTACTTTCACCCAAGTCATTTCAGTTTTCCCCTAGCTCTTTTAGCCCCTTCGACTTGCAACAGATAACTTTTCCTAATAGGTACTGTAGATTGTCTTCTGTGCACGTGAACAAACCATCTCAATCTACTCTCTTCATTTTATCACATATTGGAGCTACTCCTATGTTCCTTTGTTGACTTCATTTCTAACCCTGTCCTTTATGCTATGCATCCTTGTGTGTATTTATCCAATGGAGGTGAGTAATGGGAAAGAGACTCGGAGCAAGAAGTGTAGCTTAACTATTTTGGTGAATGATCAGCAACGTTTGTGTATACTTACTCTATAAAAGTAGAGTTTTGCTTATCTAGGCATAAGTAGATGGTAGCTCATAGTGCAGAAATAAAGTGCATTTAGTGTATCTCATAGAATCAAAGTAGAGTTTTGTGTCATGCATAACATGCAAATTTAAGTTGAGAGAGARAAAGTGAACTGAGAAAGAAATTATGTTGGTAAGTTCCACATAAGAAGGAAATTAATTCTTCCATCACTACATCCTGTCCAATTTGGAACTGTACTCCATATCTTTTTGGAATGTGGTTCTAGGGCAACTCTACTTTCAAAGGGGTTTATGTTTAAACCATGCCCTCTTGACACAAATTTGCTTATTGAGGTGTGCAAATAATGGAACTGGCTAAGAGGATTACTCTAGCTTAACCCAAATAATACGGACAGGGTTCTGATTATCTTGGAAGTAGATATATAGTTTGAGGAGGTTACCTTTCTCAGAAGCTAGTGCCAATGAAGCTAAGCGACCGCAAGCGGCAGACTTTGCCCCAGAAGTGCGAGTATCTGCATCCACAAGTGGGAGAACTCTGGCAGCAGAAGCACCCTGAAAGAAAAAAAGAAGAATCCATCAGCAAATCCAAGTTTCTTATCAATACCAAATGAATAAGTTTATATTAACTTGTACCTGATTTAAATAAGGCACTGTGACTGGAGACCAGGAATGAAAATGGGATCCTGGTGCTTCAGTTGTGGATGCTGTCCCATTACTTGACATATTACTTACAGGTAGGTCCTGTATGGTGTCATTTAACAAAGATAGTGATAAATCAACACCAGTGGAGGATGCTTCCAACCTGAGAGGTTGAACCAACACAAGGAACATCAGGACACAACTAACAGTTTTGCAACTTCATAATTTAACTTAAACCAAAAGTGAGTACTAAATTGTAATATATCAGAATAACATAACCTCACAGATTTTCCTTTAAGCTTCCGAATGTCAGAAATTTTATCATCATCTTCACATGTCACAAACACAACCTTTTCCTGCATATTACCAAATTATGAACTCTTCTCAATTTTCATTTCCATTAAAGGAATCTAGTTTGCATAGAAGGGATAATGCAAGACTTACTTGCCGGGCCCTAACACCAAGATGTGACAAGTGAGGGAGTTCCTGTAGAAGAACCACCCCTACTATGTTACTCCCAGCAGCTGTAACCTGACAAATGCATAGTGTGCAAGTTCTACAAAATCAGTGACAACAAAATTCCAGCACCTGAAGATCTAGGATTACAGAAAAGAAAAGAAAAGAACATCATAAATATTTAGAACCTCTTCATCCCCATCAGCTTTGTTGACAACAAGAATAACAGGTCCAGTAGTAGACGATGGCAATGATCCAGGGACAATGTTCTCCACCTGGAGTGCACCACATAAGTCACAAGTTATGTATAGAAGGGTGAGCTAACATAAAGGGAATCCATATATTATGGAGTTGGAAGAAAAATGTTGTGAATGAAAGCCAAGCTACACAAACAGAGCATTGTCCAGGAATTAGGAAGGCTTTCAGCCCCCAAAGTTTAGGCTCTTTTTCACTCCACCACTTTAGGAATTCTTTCTTTTTTTTTTCTTTGTTGATCACTAGATTAGAATGGTCTTCATCCTTTATCACAAAGCATTTGTCACTTCCATAGACGTACAATCCAATACTTAAGAAAATCATTCAAAATAAATAACTATTCCATATTCCTTTTTTATAGGTAATGCACTGTCCCAACCTCCCAGTTAACATAACAAATAACAAATAATTCACATACTATGGAATCATGAATAATTCAATAAGTAGAGAATATTTTGTCATTTTTATTGTTGAAATTGAAAAAGGATCAACACTATGTGGCTCTCTGCTGCAGGCATGTATTTTCATGTGTTTTTTCTCTCTAACTTATTCTTGTGTTGCATCTTAAGCACCGATATGCGGGGCTGTATCTGTGCTTTTTTTATGTTTTATTTTTTTTTTCAAAACCGGTTCAGAGGGGTCGGTTTAAGTCCCAGCTACCCTCTGAACTATGGCCTGACCCGATACACCCCCTGTARGGCCATATCGGGAAAGCCCCAATACGATACGTATCGGCCAATACGGGCCAATACGTAACGATATTTTGAACCTTGGTTCCAATGCCAGGTTCTGATATGTAAATCTTCTTGAATCCATTCAAAAACTTGAGTGCATCATGGTTTTGCTTCAGCAAAATATTTAGATTTTCCATTTCCTATCAAAAATACCTCCAATTTGTTCCACTGTGCACAGTTGGGTCCATTTAGCTTGATAGTAGTCACATGTACTTGAAAGAAATCTGATAACATTAATTGGAAGCTTTTATCTCCATTCTGCACAAGAACTACTGTGAACAGATCACCTGTATAGTTTCTGGTCGATCTACACCAGAACAATATTATTTCAGTCACCAACAGGTCCAACACTTCATGCAACTCACTAATTCACTTGACAACTATTGAGTGATCATTTGAACTGCTATATTCCAGTCTGCRATCACCCAGAAAATCTTCTCACACATCACTAACCTGTACTCCAACAACCAAATCACACCAATTAATTCCTCAACCGTTCATAGGTTTTATCACCCAAAAAACTCAACACTGTCTACTATTCACAGTTCTATTCTACCTATACTGATCACAGTATCCTCTCTGGTTGAACCTAGTAGGAAGCAGCACCCATCAATTACAAAGAGGAGAAAGCTGATTGAAGTCTGAGCAGAACAGACTCAATGTGAATCATACTCCTATGAGAACCAGGTTAACCAGCTAGAGAGAGAGAGAGAGATGATCCACTTGATCTAAYCCACTTGCTCTGATACCATTTGATCCTTTCAGCCAAGGTTCAAAGTATCAACATGATACACTTGATACAGGGCATATCATATTGTATTCTTGGATGCCGATACACCTGTTATAGGTGTTTTCAGGAACTCCTTTTATTAATATATATATGTATATATATATTATATATATATATATAAAAGGCGCATCAGTTAAAGTACCGATACACCTCTGCCGATAAACAGAGGTGTATCAATACTTTGAACCATGCTTTCAGCAAGATTAGATTTGAAGAACCCTGTAGAATATGTGCGAAAAAGAAGAGGGAGAAAGGAGAAAGAAAGGACAATAATAGAAGAAAGAGCATATCATGGGATTCAATTGATTAATCCCCTCAACCTCTATCTTCTTTATATAAGTGGTGGTTGCTCTAGTTAACAAGGGACTACAACTTACATAAAAAGAAAATGATATCAGTACCCCTAATTAGTAATCTTTCTTAAACTAACAGTTCTACTCCTACCAAACATCACAAACATAAAAATAAATAAACATAGGCATGAATTCATATACTCCTAAACAGATTACTTGCCCAAATTCAACCTCATGCTACTTTGCATGTTTGCATGTATTAAATGTATTATAATAATTATTTCCTAGGATTCACTATGCTATTAAATGTTGCTTGGTGTGAGTATAATAGGACAAGGCAACAAAGAGGTCTACCTAAAAGACAGTAGATGGCTTTGGGAGAGGAGGAAGGAGGAAAGGGAGTAGTAGAATGTGTGAGAGGCTAGGATTTCAACCCAGCAGAGCTGCGCAAAGATCTCTGAAAGACTGAGGTGAGGAGGGCTTCGGGCCTCTTCTATTTATAGATATAAGGCACGTAAAAGGAGGGAAACTTTCCCAAGTGTGGGAAAGTTTGTTATTCAGTTAGATCTAAAATAGACAAGTCAAATGGGGTGTCACCACGTGTCCACACAGAGATACCTGAGTCTGTATTCTTGCCCTTCTCCACGGGATCTGCATGTGAGCACTAGTGCAGCTACTGCCCTCTTTTAGAAGCTAACCTGATTATGCCTTAGTTATTTCTTGAGAACACCAAAGTGTTCGTGTGACATCGCAAGATAGGTTGTGGAGGAGTTGCTCTGCCATGGTGTTGCAATATGGTGTTAAGGGTGCTATCGCAGCAGAAGAGACCGCTATGATGCTGTATCAAATCGTGGGACAAGAGTGTAGTGACAAGTTTCTTAAGACCAAGACACTTGTGCTGCGATGACAGGCCATTATTTCGTATTGCAATGGTCAAAGTGACTGTAAGCGATTTTGCAGTTAGTAAAGATATATCTTGATGTACACTATTACAGCAGTCCTTGTTGTACAATGCCATATTCTTATTATTTTATTTGTTCTTTTTATCTTTCAGCCCTGTAAGGGCATTCTTGTAACTGTACATATCTTCTATCTCTTTAATATAAAAGAGACTCTTTGGGGTGGGGGTCGACTATTCTTGACACCCCTAAATCTGTTTTCTTCTTGCTCTCAATTCAGTTCACATGGTATCAGAGCGTGTTGCCCTTTGATCTTCCTTCTCTCTTATCCACCTTGTTTTCGTGATCTATTGAGAACCTACATCTTTGCCAAGTGGTCCTGGACTGTTTTGATCTCTCCAGGAACCCCTTTTCTGTTTTCTGCACATCCAGAGAGAGAGATTTTATTGGATCTCTCTCGTTTGACTTCCATTTGCAGCAAGATTTGAAAGGAGTTGTCGCCTAGCCCTTCTCAACATACTCTGAAATTTTTACGGAGATCCATGAAGTTTTGAAAGAGATATGGACTCTTCTTCTAGGCGGCTGCACCCAGACTTTCCTTTTCTGGACTGTGTTCAGTTTTCCTTTGTTTTGGATCTTGAACAATCTCCGGTGAAAGTAAGGGGTTTCTATCTCAGTTTTTTTACTCTTTTGGATTGATTACAGCCTATTTCACTCGTTTTTAGATCAAGTTTTACTTCAGTTTAGTTCCTTTAAACTTCAGCCGAACCCTATTTTGTGCTACTTTCTTGCTGTAATGGCTTCAGACAGAGGTGATATCATTCCTGTGAAGATGAATTGACAGAACTATGGGATGTGGAAGTTCCACTTCGACTTTTATGTTGAAGGAAAGGGTTTAGAAGGATATCTGAATGGAATGGTCACCAAACCAGCTGAGAACCGAGGCCAAGGCTTTACAACAATGGAAGTTGGATAACGGTAAACTTGTTTCTTGGATTCTGAGTTCTATTGACTATCATATATCTGTACCCATGAAGAGAATGAAAACAGCATATGAGATGTACATGTATTTAGAAAAAGTTTATCAACAGTCCAACGTATCTAAACAATATCAGATAGAATCAGAAATATTTTCTTATAGCCAAGGAGATAGGAGGATACAGGAGTATTATTCTGGTTTTCTTGATTTATGGGCTGAATATGAGATTGTTCACATTGAACCCTCAGATCCAATAGTGTGTGAAATATCTTCATAAGCACTTTGAGAAGAGAAAGGTGACTCAATTCTTGATGAGACTTAGACCTGAATATGAGATAATCAGGTCCAACATTCTGAGTGGGGGAACACTTCCAAATATGGATTCTGTTTTAAGGGAACTTCTAAGGGAAGAGACTAGACTTCTCACTGCAGCCGGGTTTGATGGGAAGATGGCTGAAGTTGGGGCTGAAATAGCTTTTGTTGCTCATGGGGGTAAGAAGCCAACCTCCAAGGACTTCTCCAAAACCCAGTGCTATGAGTGTAAGGGTTTTGGACATATTGCATCGCACTGTAAGAAGAAGAATGTGTGTACCTATTGCAAGCAACATGGTCATATCATTCCAGACTGTCCAATCCAACCAGCTAAGGGCTCTCAGAAAAAGACTCAGCCCTGGGCCTATCAGGTAACAGATGGACAAGCAACAAACACTATATCTACCAAGGGTGAGCCTTCAGTGAAAGGTGATTCAACAAGTGTCATGGATGAAGAAAGGGTTCAGCAACTGGTATCTTCTGCTATTTCCTCTGCTTTCTCTGCTATTGGCTTGTTTGGTAAATTCTCTRCATATTGTTCTTCCCCTTCATGCGCTTGGATTATAGATTTAGGTGCCACCGACTATATGACAGGAGCCTACCTCAATTACCCAATCCCTTCCACTAAAACTCACCATAAACATATTATTACTGCTAATGGTGAAAAGTTAGACATCATTGATAGTAATGATCTATCCCTTCAACTGTCACCAACCAGATCCTTCCCTCTCTCCAAAACCCTCTTAGTACCCAACCTTACTAATTTGATTTCTATTGGCCAACTTATTGATGAAGGAAATGTTCTCATTTTTTCTCATGATGATTGCTTGATACGGGACCAGTACACTGGGAAGGTGAAAGGGAAGGGGCGTAGGCTGGGCCGCCTGTTTAAGCTAGAGTTCGAGAAATCTCAATCAGGGGCATCCTCAACTTTACTTAGTTCTTCTTTGTCTGATTCTGTGTTGTTATAGAAATAATGTTTGGGATTTATGGCATAAACGATTAGGTCATCC